CTCTTTCAATCTTGTTTCCTTCAAGCCAGGCTCACACTGCAGCGGGTAACGCCCAGATCTGGTCCGGGCACTCCGTCGCTCCGATCTTCCCTCGGATGGAAATCTAAACTCCTTAACATGGCTTACGGGGCCCTTCTTGTCGGGCCTCTGCCCACCCCTCCAGCTTTGTTTTTCAGCGCTCTAGCCCTAGGTTCCAGCCATACAGAATGGCTTTTTGAGTTCTTTAGATGCACCATCTCTCTCACCTCCAGTTAGTTATTCATTCTGCGGATAATTTTTAAGTGATTCTCTCCTCTGTGCCAAGAACTGCGAGGTGCTGGGATTCCAGTGGTTAACAAGATAGATTCCTGCCCTCATGGAACTTAACCCTTCTGTAGATGGACTTTAGAGGAATAACAAGGGAACCTATCTGAATCAGGTTGGTCTGGGAAGGCCTCTGAGAAGGTGACACTTACATCGAGGCCTATGAGATGAGACTAATCTAGGCGTTGAACAGAAAAGGAAGAACATTCCAGAGTGAATAGATTGTACAGCGGCCCTGAGGCCAAAAAGAGCCTGGCATCTTCATGTTCAAGAACCTAAGAAACGAACAGTGTTGCTGGAATATATTCAGAAAGAACAGTTGTATGAGATGAGTCTGGAGAGATTGGCAAAGATCAGACCACTTAGTATGTTAATGTAGCAACATAAGCCTGAGATAATGGTGGTTTGCATTAAGGTGGTGGCAGCTTAAGGTGGGGTTGGGCAGGGGGGAGGGAGAAGTGAATGATGGTTTTTAGATAAGGAAATAGAGCATTTACCTGCGGGTGTATTGTGGGACTTGAGGCAAACAGGAATAAAAGATGACTCCTAGGTTAACGCCTGAGTTACTGATGGAGAGTAGTGCCATTTATTGAAATGGAGAAAATTACAAGTAAAGAGGTTTGAGAGGAAACTAAGAATTCAGGTATTTTGCGTATTAAAACTTGAGATGTCTGTGAGACATCCAAATACTGTTGGCTCTCAGATAAGCAGTACAGATATGGAAGTCTGGAGCTTTCAAATATTGTGTACACCTTTGTGTCACTTCATTGGCAATTATACATTGCCTTAGCCAATGGATTATAAATTCCTTGAACACAAGCCTGTTTTTTCTGTCTGTCACCCTGTTCCCTTCCCTATGCCTAGAATAGTACTTTACCTATTGTGGACGAAAAGGGGCCACATGCTAACCTGGCTGCGTGGAAGCCTTGCAAACTCAGAGACCTAAAGTAACTACAAAGGATGGTCTGAAATTAAACCTTTTAAAATTAAAAAGCAGTTTATGATGGGTACTCATAGCCTAGGCTAGTATCTTCCCTGACAAAGGTCAGTCTTTACCTTAACTGAGTCTACTGTCTTTTTGCATCTACAGTAACATATAGTTGGAATGTCAAAGTAATTTTCATTTTTCCGGACCCCTCAAAGCACAGACACCACTCTGGGGAGACCACAGATCCCCTCGTTATTATTGAGTTAATAATTGTTGACTATTAACTATCCTGCACTCACCTAAGTAAAAAGAGTATGTGTCTTATCATTTTACTTTTTATCCAATTCCAGAGGTTTCCCCGCTTTGCTTTCTCCCACCTCTCTAATCTATCACCAGTGGATTTCATGTAACCCACTTACATCCGCTCTTTTGATGGTAATGTATAAAACAAGGTCCAAAACTGTCATTCTCTGGAGCATTATCTCAATCCATTGAGATTCTGCTTCCCAACAATTGTCAACACTTCGGCTCAAATAAACTCAGAAAAATTCTTCACAGGTTTGAATGCTTATGTTAACACTATCATAATTGCAGTGGACAAACTGTGTGTTATACTCACTAGGATTTTCCTGAATAATGTTTCGAAATATTATTCACCAATATTTCTCTTTAGGCAAGAGGTTTTGTCTCTTTGTTTTTTGTTTATTTAATTTTCCATCTCCTGCCTGCCTCTCTCTTCCCATTCTAGAGTTTTCATATGAGGTTAGTAAATCATTTCTCAGGGACATCTTATGACTTCCTTTAGAAAAATTAGACCAAGTATGTGCCCTTGAGGAAACCATTAGATAACACCTTAATTCCTATTTGTATTCCATGGTTAAGTGTTTATTCCATAAAACACTCTTATGTGATTTCTCCCCTCTGATCATTTTTGAAAATAGTTGTAAATATTATTTGTAAAGTTATCAGATCCCCTACTGTCTCAGGTATGACCCCAGTCCACCAACCTAACCCTAACCCATAGGACCCAGAGCTGATGTGACATGACTCCCAAGTCTTTCAGAAAAGGACCTAATTTCCACACTCACAGGACCCAGAGCTGATGTAGCTGGACCCCCTGCTATCTCAGGGGAAGACCCTTCCCCTCACTCACAAGAACCAGAGGTGATGTGACATGACCCCCAAGTCTCAGGAACAGACCTTTCCTCACACTCACAGGATACAGAGCTCATGTGACAGGACACACAACTTTTACAGGGTGAGACCCCTCCCAACACTCACAGGACCAAGAGCTATAGTGACTGGACTCCACTCTCATGTATGACCCTCTCCACACTTACAGAACTCAGGGCTAATGTCACAAGATCCCCTACCCTTTCAGGTTGGGCTCCTCCTCACACTCACAGGATCCAGAGATGACTCACAGGTCAGAGGACCCCATACTCTCAGGTGGCTCCACGTTCCACACTAAATAGACCCAGGATTGATGTGTAAGGATCCCCCAACTCTTTTTTTTTTTTAATAAGTCTTTATTGTTCAGATTATTACACTGGTTCCTCTTTTTCCCCCAATAACTCCCCTCCACCCAGTTCCCACCCCACCCTCTGCCCTTACCCCCCCCTCCACTGTCCTCATCCATAGGTGTACGATTTTTGTCCAGTCTCTTCCCCCACCCCCACAACCCTTTCCCCCCCCACAAGAATTGTCAGTCCACTCCCTTTCTGTGCCCCTGATTCTATTATATTCACCAGTTTACTCTGTTCATAAGATTTTTTTATTCACTTGATTTTTAGATTCACTTGTTGATAGATATGTAATTGTTCATAATTTTTATCTTTACCTTTTTTTCTTCTTCCTCTTCTTAAAGGATACCTTTCAGCATTTCATATAATACTGGTTTGGTGGTGATGAACTCCTTTAGCTTTTTCTTATCAGTGAAGCTCTTTATCTGACCTTCAATTCTGAATGATAGCTTTGCTGGATAAAGTAATCTTGGTTGTAGGTTCTTGGTATTCATCACTTTGAATATTTCTTGCCTCTCCCTTCTGGCCTGCATAGTTTCTGTTGAGAAATCAGCTGACAGTCATATGGGTACCCCCTTGTAGGTAACTGACTTTTTTTATCTTGCTGCTTTTAAGATTCTCTCATTGTCTTTTGCTCTTGGCATTTTAATTATGATGTGTCTTGGTGTGGTCCTCTTTGGATTCCTTTTGTTTGGGGTTCTCTGCGCTTCCTGGACTTGTAAGTCTATTCCTTTCACCAGGTAGGGGAAGTTTTCTGTCATTATTTCTTCAAATGGGTTTTCAATATCTTGCTCTCTCTCTTCTTCTGGCACCCCTATAAATCGGATGTTGGTTTGCTTGAAGTTGTCCCAGAGGCTCCTTACACTATCTTGATATTTTTGGATTCTTTTTGCTTTTTGCTTTTTGCTTTTCCGGTTGGGTATTTTTTGCTTCTTCATATTTCAAATCTTTGACTTGATTCTTGGGATCTTCTTGTCTGCTGTTGGATCTCTGTATATTATTCTTTATTTCAGTCAGTGTATGCTTAATTTCTAGTTGGTCCTTTTTCATATCCTCGAGGTCTCACTAAATTTATCAGCGGTTTCTAGAAATTCTTGAAAAACCTTATAACTGTGGTTTTTGAACTCTATATCCAATAGTTTGCTTTTCTTCATTTCTGTCATTTGTGATCTGTTTCTTTGTCTCCGCATTTTGGCTGCTTCCCTGTGTTGATAGAGTGGCTTTGTGTGCTAGGTGTCCTATAGGGTCCAGTGGCTCAGCCTCCCCAATTACCTGAGGTGGACACTCTTGGTGCACCCCTTTGTGGGCTGTGTGCACAGTCTTGTTGTAGTTAAGCCTTGATTGTTGTTGTTATCCCTGGGAGGAATTGACTTCCAGGCCAATTGGCTATGAGAATCAGCTGTGTCTACAGTGGGAGAACTTCTGTGCTGAAGACACCCTTATAGGGCAAGACTTGCTTCAGTGGGGCTTTGGTGCTCACTGAGTCTGCCCCCTGAGTGTGTCCCTTATGGATCTGAGGAGTTGTAATCTGGATGGGCCCACTCTGACCACTGGGTACACTGGCTCTTGGATCTCTAAGGAGGTGCTAATTTAGCCTCTGCCTGAGGCTACCCAGCAGGAGCTATGGAGGATCTTCAGATTCCTCTTCCTTGTTTGGGGTTTGGAGGTGCTCAGATGAGGCCCAGCTGTGAAGCAATGCAAGCTGCCGTGGGACCTTGAGCCTTCTTTTGGATATTCTGGTTATCTCTGACCCAGCTGCAGTTTTTTAGGTACTTGTAGATCTCAAAGGGCCAGCCCATTCATATGCAAAAGCCTCTGCTGGAAGCTTGGATGGGGCGGGGTCTCAGGGAATCAACAGGGCGGAGCAAACAGCTATGGCTGGTCCTCAGTCCTGCCCTAAGAGGCTCCCAGGATCCCCCAACTCTTGCATGAGGGAACTCACCCCACACTCACAGGACTCAGAGCTGACATGACAGGACTCCCTCCTCTCAGGTGGGACCCCTCCCAACACTCAGAATCCAGAGCTGATGTGTCAGGACCCTTCCTGCTCTCAGAGTGGAAGAGCTCCATACACTCAGGTGCACACTGCCAGGAAGTGCTCTTCTCTGCTATCATCTAGTGTACTTCTTGGGACTAGATGCTTATTCACTAAGCATCTGCTCTTATCATTTTGCAAGGACCCTATGAGTTCCTCAAGGCATCTTATATTATCCCTACCTCAGAATGTTGCATATGCACATAATAGTAGGTCCCAAAGCGTATGTGGTAGGACCCACTACTCTCTCAGGTGGGACTCCTTCCCATAGTAACAGGATCCAAAGCTCATGTGACAGGATCCACTATTCTCTCAGGTGGGACTTTTACCAAACTAACAAGACCAAGAGCTGGTTTGACAGGAACCACTATTGTCTCAGACAGGGACCTCTGTCCACAGTCACAGGATCCAGAACTGAGCTCATATTACAGGACTTTAAATAATTTTCCCAACATGAATATGACCCGGAGCTGATGTGAGTGGACCCTCTACTCTCAGAGTGGGTCCCCTTTCAAAACCGATGCATACTGCCAGCTAGTGTGATTTTAGGAATAACATCTGAGTTGAGGCCGCCAGTAAATATTCTTCTTTGCTGCCATCTAGTGTACATCTTGGGAATAGCACCTTTTACTAAGCCTCTGCTTTTACAATTTTGCAAGGACACTTTGAAGGTACCTTACATCATCCCTAGCTCAGAATGTCTTATATAACCAAGTTTCCTTTCTATCTCTGATCCTCTTATGCATTTGGAGTCTCTGACTCTCTTATGTATGTGAGGTTTTCATACATATATATGTCTTAAATTTGGTTATTTTCTGTTGCTAATTTGTCTCATATATATTTGATTAGATCAGGAAATAGAACCTTGAGGTTAGAGGGAAGTTTGTTCTTTTCCCACATAAGCAAATAATCAGACATTTAATAGTAGGTAAATTTTGAGAGTACATCAACATCACTGTTTCCTGAAATAAGGTTTAACAATTTAACTAAACTAACTTATTCTCAGGACTGAGTGATTATATCAGTGAACTATGGAACAATCTAGTAATTTAGCTTGTGGATGTAAAACTTTTATTTAAAGTTTCAAAGGTGGGAATGAAGAGGGCCAAAGTTTTGTGCCTGGAGTGTTGATTTTAAGCTGGTTGTTAGGAAACAAAAGTCTGAGAAAGAATCCATGGTTCTCATCTCATTTTTTCCTAAGATATTTAGTTAGAAAAATCTGGTTTAGGAAGAGAATGTTAGCATATCACCTTAGCTTTAGAAATTCAGGCTCCAAGCAGGAGTTTGTTGACCTCCTTACTTCCCCCGTCCCATGTACTATTGCATTGGAGGTTGCCTTAAAAAAAGTATCCTGCCACGTATGTTGCACTTTTTAAAAATTACCTGCTTATAGCCCGTTTCGCCTATAGTCTAAGACCCTGTTCCCCCATTTTCCAAAATGTCCTATATACTCAATATTACCTCATTGTTTTTGCTATTCATTTGCATGCAAACTCCCCTTAACATGTATTAAACTTTGAATTGCTTGTTAATTTGATTATTAGCCCAGCTGTTAGAACTTACAAAGTGTGAGGAAAATTTTTTTAAATATATTTTTATTGATTTCAGAGAGGAAAGGACAGGGAGAGAGAGATAGAAACATCAATGATGAGAGAGTATCATTGATCGGCTGCCTCCTGCATGCCCCCACACTGGGGATCGAACCCGAAACCTGGGTGTGTGCCCTTCACTGGAATTGAGCCTGGGACCCTTCAGTCCGAAGGTCAACGCTCTATCCACTGAGCCAAACCAGCTAGGGTAATCAAGTATTTTTTTTTTATCCACAGTACTGATGAACTGGCCATATGAAATTAATGGCAAAGACACTGCTAACTTCTGGAAACTGCTGCACCTGAAGGATCATGAACATCTGCCAGCAAAGGTAGGCATTATTTTATTCACTCTGTCCACCTTCCTGTTCTATTTCTGCAGTGTTTGGTAGAATTTAGAAGTGCTTTGAGTTATTTTCCTCTTTTCTGCATTTGTGAGGCTAGCTGCATGAACTTAGAGAGTCATGAGTTTTCTTTATTGAGTCATGAGTCTGTTTACATCATGAGGATCTGGTTCAGCCTCTGCGTCTGGCAGCAACTGGGTTCCATTGTCCGCCTCCAACTCTGGAGTCTGGCTATAAGGTCTTGGTTATGGATCTGGGTTCCATCCCCAGGGTCTGTCCATCACATACTTGGTGGAGCCAGAAAAAACCCCATCAGCTCCAGGTCTCTCCTCACGTGTTTCCCCAGGCACTCTTCTGCCCATCACATTGAGAAGACTAAAAAGGGATAATTCAAATGTAACCCTGATATTTTGGGGGCTAGCAATTGGAATCCATGCCATGTGGTCTGGTATCAAATCTTTTTAGCTATGTGTCTGGGGTCTGGAGTCTTTGGGTGTGGCTTTATGTCCTGGGTTCATAGGTTAAAAAACAAGGAGAAACCTGGAGGCAAATTTTCTCTCCTGGCTCCAGCCATGGTGTGAAGGGCCGAGAGTGTCTTGAGATTAATGGGCCAGGAGAGTCCTTAAGCTGAATTCTGTATCTTGGCTCTAGCCAGGTTTTCCAGGCAAAAAGGGCAAGACCTGGAGGCAAATAATTCATCCTGACACCAGCCCAGCATGTTGTTGGAGAAGACCCAAGAAAACCAAGTGATGTTTTAAAGAAATGGAGGGACACTGTTTAATTACGCCAACGGACTCAGGGAATAGCTTTCCAAATCTGATTACCGAAACAGGCAGGGGGCTTCTTTTTATATCTCCCTGTGGTCTTTTGTCCCGAAAATATGGATTATGCTTCCGGTCCTTTTCACGGGCCTTTCAAGAAGGCCCCCAAGTGTTTGGGGTCTCCAGGCCATACCTGATGGTTTGGCCTGGCACCAGCGTTAATAACCCTCCCACCAGGGCAGTGCACTGTTCACAGTTTTATGGCCTCTGTAGCAGGTTCTGCAAGACCAATTTCTGGGAAGGAGGTAATGACTTAATTATAGGTTATCAAGAATCTTGCTGGCATGGATTCCAATTGCTAGCCCCCAAAATATCAGGGGTACATTTGAATTAGCCCTTTTTAGCCTTCTCAATGTGATGGGCAGAAGAGTGCCTGGGGAAACAGGTGAGGAGAGACCTGGAGCTGATGGGGTTTTTTCTGGCTCCACCAAGTATGTGATGGACAGAGGGTGTCCTGAGGTCAAGGTTGAGGAGGGACCTGGAGTCAAATTCTTCATCTCAGATTTAGCCTAGCCTGTGATGGACAGTAGGCCTGGCTGCTTGGGGAAAGGGATGAGAAGAGACCTAAATGCATTGCTCCATCCACTTCCAGCCAACCTGTGAGAGGTAGTGGGGGTGCCTGGGGTAAGGAGCAAGGTGAAACTTGGAGGCAATTTCTCCATCCATCTGAGGATCAGAGGGGATGCCTGTGGTAAGGGGTGCACTCAGCTGGCTAGAGTTCTGTAAACACTTTCTCTACTCTTTTCACATGAGCATTTTTTCTGGACCAGTTTCCTCTAGAACAGCGGTTCTCAACCTGTGGGTTGAGACCCTTTGGCGGTTGAACGACCCTTTCACAGGGGTCGCCTAAGACCATCCTGCATATCAGATATTTATATTACAATTCATAACAGTAGCAACATTACAATTATGAAGTAGCAACGAATATAATTTTATGGTTGGGTCACAACATGGGGAACTGTATTTAAAGGGCCAGAAGGTTGAGAACCACTGCCCTAGAACATGTCCTCCAGGCCCAATTTAAGTGAGCACTTCACCTGAGACCATCTTTTGTGAGCACATCTTATGGACCACTTCGCTAAGAACATGTTCTTTAGCGCAAACTTAAGTGAGAACTTCCAGTGTGGCTACATTTTTGTGAGCACAGCTTCCAGGCTGGTCTCCCGGGGACACATCCTCCAGGCTCAAATTGAGCACCTCCTGTGGGACCACTTTTTGTGAGCACTGCCTCTGGACCAAATTTGGGAGTGCACTACTTCCCATCCCAGTTTACCTGAGTGCAGAGCAAAAGGAACACATGAATCATCCTGCTGCCACTTGCAGACATTTGGTTGCTTCTGTTCTGAGAGAACTTGCTTTTCCTCAGTATCTATCCCAGGAGGTACCACCCTGGGAGGAAAAGGTGAAGGGATGTCTCCTGTGCAAGGACTGCTCAGGGGGCAGGGGCGGTCTTCAGAGGTTCTAGCAAACTTTGGTGGAAGGGATTGCTGTGGGAAATTGCTGTGTGTGGGGTATTTTTGTTTGTTTGTTTTCAGTTAATTTTTGGTGGCTTCACAGCACTGTGTGAGGTCAGGGCTGGTCCTCTAAGGGTCATGGAGAGACCTGAATGCAAATTCGCTATTCTAGGTGTAGCCAGTGTTTGAGGAGCAGAGGGGTCCCTGGGTGAGGGGTGCAATTCAGCCAGCTGGTGTGTGGTGCTGTGCGCACTTTGTCCTGGCTGGTTTCTCCTGAGCATTTCCTCCAGACTGGTTTCGGGGCACAGGTCCTTATTGCCCAGTTTAAGTGAGCAATTATGAGCACTTCTTCCTGAAGGGTTCCCTGGGGACTTTTTTTCCTTTTGGCCCAATTTAAATGAGCACTTTCTGTGCGGCCACTTTTCGGGGGAACGCATGCTATGGACTGGAACCAGGAATCAGGGTACTGGTTCCTGGCTCCCTGGTCTGGTCCACTATTTATTTATTTGAATCAACATTTGTCCTTTAGCAATGCATACAGGCAGATCAAAGGTAAAGTTTGGTAAACAGTATAAGGATTATCAGGTTAGGAAATTGCCTTGAGCCATTGAGCCCACAGCAGGGCAATATTATGCTGATTTTCAGCCCTGCTGAATATCAAAGTCCATTGGCCTTCCAGTGGGTCTTTTTGCATTCATATGCTAACTACTGTTGGTTTTAGCCTCTGGCAATAAGGACCCTTTGGTTAAAGAAAACAAAGAAGTATCCACACATTGTCATGGACATAGGGGGTGAGAAACAAAATTTATTTTTTGGTTCTTCAGAATTTAAGGTTTATTTATTTATTTATTTATTTAATCCTGACCTGGAGATAGGCTTATTGATTTGCTTATTGATTTTAGAGAAAGAGGAAGGGGAGAGAGAGAGACATCATGTGAGAGAGAAACATCAATCAGTTGCCTTCTGAACTCGAAACCTAGATATGTGCCCCTACCAGGAATCAAACCTGCAAACTTTTTGGTGTATGGGAGGATGCTCCAACCAACTGAGCCACCCAGCCAGGGAAAAGGTTTAAATACTGTTTGGAGGTGAAGTTCCAGATATTTACCAGTTACTCATTTATTTGAATCATCAGGTTTTTTCAGGGAGGTTTCTAGATAGAAAAGTGGACAGAGATTATTTCTCTTTGAAGACTAAAGTTATTAAACACTCTGGCCAACAGGCCAAAAAGGACAACAGAAAAAAACCCCAAATGATTTTCACAGTAAGGAAGGGGTCAGATATCTGGACTCAACATAAAAACCCATATTGTTGCAGGGAGGTGAAGAGTGTGTGGCTGATGCTGATACCCTCTCCTAGGCAGTCACCCTGACACCATAGAGGGACCGTGCAATTCAGAGCCCAAACCAAGAGCCATTTAAAGTGGTAGTAGGAGAGAAGGGGACTATTAGGAATTAAATTAGGAAAGAGGCATAAATTGGGATTGTCCTGGCCAGACTGGAGTACAAACCCTAGAAATGTGGGGCACATTGGTGTCCCCTGCTGCTATAGCACTTCCTGTGGTGCACACACCTTTGTACCCAGTGT